TATGAAAAGCATATAAAAATGATTAAAACTAAACACATTCAAATGAAGTTGAAAATTAATGAAAAAAAAGAGATTTTAACGAATTGATTTTTGAATTTAAGTGAGTATTAACGACAAAAACAATTTGTAATCTTTACCATAATGTAAAGAATATTAAAAAATGTATTACAAGCTAAATTCCTTATTTTTGGGAATTTATATATATATTTTTTGAATTTTTTTTTAAATACCGGTCGATCACCAAAACCACCCAAAGCCAGAACCGGCTACTGGCCGGTTCTGATCTAACTTGGTGATTAGCGGTTAGATCGCCCGGTTTTTCTGACAATGATTGTCACGCACCTTACCAATGCCATAGTTCCACTACTCTAATTTACTACAAGAATACAATTTAATAATATCATAAATTGGCTTTACTATGATATTAAGCTGTGGTTTTTAAATACCATAATTCTAATAGACCAGGATACGATATGCACCACAGTTTAACATATTCTAAAGAATAATATATCTATAATACCAAGGAGATGATTACTAGTTTAATTAATAGTATCGCTCCTCTCCTTGGAGGGATCCTACAAGCATGTAGACTGAAATCCCCTTTTATAAGGAGTGAGATCCATATTTCTCTCAACCCAGCACCCTCCATGATCCTTTAGAGGAACCATGGGATCGAGTTCCTAAGGTGGCCTTACCCCCAAGGTTCCCGAAATTATGGCCTGCTAATGGTTTTAAATTTTCTTCTAGTTTGTCAAACTTGACATATTTTTGGACGATGACTCTGAGAATGTGAATGGTGAGACACCTTTTTGGTTGATGTTCCTTCAGCTGTAGAGCTGTACTAGTGGGACCACAATGATGAGAGATATCATTCGGAGTTGTCTTGTGACTACCATAGCTGTGATGTGTTTTTCTGTAGCATCTTTCCGATTTACACCTTGTCAGTGGACTACTACCCAAACCCTTTTCTGAAGCATCATATTTTTGTTTTTGTTGAGTTGGTAACTAGAACTGAAATTTAATGTCTTAAAACATAGCCTGGTGCACTTGATCGTTCCTGGTTTTGACCTTTAAGGTCTTAAAGATCATGGGTCAGTTTCATGGTATTAGCCGTCTCTTTTCATTTTCTGCTGGTTTTGTTGTTTTATGATGTATGGCTTTGCTGCTTGAGGCTGTACAAGGTCTCAAATGTCGTAGAAATTTTGATATCAGGGAACATAATATGTTTGTGCCCATGTTTGCCACTTCTTGCTAGCATGCCTTTCAACCAGTATATTGTTATTCAATTTAAGTGATTATAGCTCAGACTGCTCTATAGCAGCAAAGTGTTGTGTTCGTCATGGAAAATCATGAGTATGACACGTGTTTCTGGGGACATATGCTGAAAATATTCATTGGACTTGTGGAAACTGGAAAATACGCACGCACACACACATATTATTCTAGTTCTGAAGAACCACTTGTCTTTTTTTATTTATTTAAATATGAAATTACTTGGATTTTAATATAAATTTTTCCAATTAATAATAAGTATAATACATAGATTGATTCACTGGTAGACCGATGATATACTTTTGGTTTACCTGCCAGGTATGTAATACAGTCATTGATACCTATTTATTGCATGATGTATACAACTTTTCGTTAATTATATGTTGATGAACATATGCATCATTTTAAGGATAAAAAGAATGTTGAGAAGCTCTCTTGAGGAGATCACAAAGCACATCCACATCCAACATCCATCTCAACATCCACATCTCCGCTACATTCATTCTATAGGTATATTGTTTTTTGACCGCCCAACATTCCACCCCATAGAGTGAAGCTGATCTCACATCTATCCTATATATTTTGCCCTTTAGCTTCATTGGTATGTGGTGATTACATAAAATTCCGGTTGCACATCTGTACTTCGTCCACTTAGCTGTAATTCTATGTGCGATATCTTCTTCAACCTCTCCATTTTCTAGATTATCGATCCAAGATATCGAAAGTGCGCTCTTTTTGGTAATTCTTAGAAGTCAATATTAACTATTTCTTCATCTCTACTCCTATTATTACTAAACTTGCATTTCATAGACTCTGTCTTAGTCTTGCTAATTTTAAAACATTTGTATTATAGAGCATCCCTCCAAAGTTCTAACTTTGTATTGACGCCGTTCGGGTCTCATCGATCAAAACTATGTCATCTACAAAGAACATGCACCACAATACCTCATTTTGTAGGTGCCTAGTTAAGTCGCCCATAACTAACACAAAGAGGTATAGATTCAATGTTGACTCTTGATGTAGACATATTATCACTAAAAACTCACTCATCTCTCCACTAGTTCATACACTAGTTAGCGCTCCATCGTATATATTTCTCACCAAGTCGATGTAGTGTCTAGAGACTCATTTCTTTTGTAACACCCACCAAATCAAATATCAAGATACTCTATCATACGCTTTCTCTAAATCAATAAAGACCATGTGGGGCTCTTTTTCCTTTGCCCTATACTTCTCAATCAATTGCATAAGTAGTAAAATAACCTCAGTTGTTGACCTCCTTGGTATAAAGCCGAATTGATTTTCTAATACACTCGTTTCATGCCTTAGTCATTGCTCAATCACTCTCTCCCAAAGCTTCATAGTGTGGCTCATAAGTTTGATCCCTCGATAGTTGTTGGTCTTGTCCTAGAGCTTTGTGGCTCATAGGTTTAATCATCAACGAAAATATTAATATTATTATCTTAGTGTCAACAAGTTCATCTCTCGAAATTCTCATGGCCTTGGCTAATTGGGAAAACAATGCATAATTGCATAGCCACAATGTGTAATTTGGGAGGGACCAATCTCTATTTAGTAACACATTGTCTATAAGTGTACATTTTCTTGTACGCATTTCTCATCGCAGGATACTAGTTCAAGCTAAAAGTTAAATATAAATGCTTATATTGATTCTTGAGTTATACTATTTTCCAGTTTTACTCATTCGATGCTTAAGATGAAACATTGACATGCACAAACGATTGCACATGCATACAAAAAGAACAAAAGAACACTCATACATGGCCCCACAGTGCTCATTTTTTCGTCTTTGTGTCTTACAGGCCTCTCTCAGTATATATGTTCATGCACATGTATTTATCAATTTTGATAGTGTATTGAAAGATAGACATCCAGGCCATGTGCATTTTACTATCTCCAATGTCTTATTTTTGCCCCAAAAAGAGTTATGGTTCGATTCAAATTGCATTTGAGACATTCAATAATTAGATCGATTAAAATATTTGACTTAGATTGATTAAAATATTTTATTTATTTGTTGATTTTTAAAATTCATTTTTAGGGATGTAGATAGGCTTTTTATCTTTTATTTATTGGGGTTAATTTTTTGGAATTAAACATGAAGGGGTTAAAAGAGAGTTTGATTAATTGTGTCAGGTAGTTGGGACGTTTCCTATTTTTAGGATTAACACCGGTCATTTTTAAAGATTTTGTTAGTTGGAAAGATTCCTTTGGTAGAGGGTATATCCACATATGTCACATTGATGCTTATGGCTTATGTGGGGGTGCAAGATTATAGGAGAGAAAGAGAAGATAAGGAAGGAGTGCATGAGGGAATGAATGTAGTCCTAGTTATATGGGAATAGGAGGGGTGTGTGTTTATTATGTGGAGAGAGAGAGAGAGAGAGAGAGAGAGAGAGAGAGAGAGAGAGAGAGAGAGATCAACATGGGGTAGAGAGAGTGTGTTTTAATTACAGAGAGAGAGAGTTCAACATGGGATAGAGTGTGTGTGTGTTAATTTTTTTGGCATTCTAATTTGCATTTAAAAGAAGGGAGATTCCCTTTGGAACTTGCACTTCAGTAATTTTTTTTTGTGTGAGATTTTATGAAAGAAGAAAAGGGCAATTCCCTTTGGAACTTGGACTTCGGTAAGTTTTTTTTGTGTGAGATTTTCTTTATGAAAGAAGAAAAGAGCATTTTCTTCATCCTTGACTTGATTTTCAGCTATTGTTTTCTTTCTCCACAATTGCAGAATTTACCTCCTTAGGATTGTAAGAAGACTGGATTTAATTTACCGTGCTTGTTTCGCATCATTCAGGATAAGAGTGAGGACTAAAATGACTGGTCATGGAGGTCGTGGCTGTGAAAATGCCAAGTTATATTGAGGCTCGACAACTTGCTAGAGATGGTTGAAAAGTATGTTGCATAAACAAAGATGGCAATAATGTACATCAAATAGGATGAGATCTATAGTGTTAAATCGATATTGTGCGAGTTTTTGTGGAGATTGACGTAAATTGGAGCACGAGTCTGAGTGGGAACAACCCGATGTTATGCTCGGTTACTATTATGGGTTTGAGGCATGATGGCATTGACGAGAGCATGAATGCCAGAAAGAGTTGGGTAGTTGACTACCCAGAGCCGATGTAATTAGCATCGGGGAGTAGACTGAGGTAATTGTACAGATGAGCAGAGAATGAATTTTACAACATACATATCCAAGCATGATCATCCCAGGCATGGAGACCGACTCTTCCAACTTGCGGAGTTGCTATTCCTACAATAAATCTGCGACACGAGTATCACAGAAGTATATTGACAAAGGTATGTGATTTCTTGACTAAAGAAAATCCTAGATTTGTCATTGGAGAGGTTGATGGCATTGATAGATACAAAATGCTCTATCCAATGAGAAAAAGGTAGATGTATTTGTAGACCAACCTACTAAAAAAGTAGACATAATTGGGGATATGTCTAACATTTGTATTAATGAAAGTATGGATAATTCTAAATCTAATCATGAACAAATTCCGAGTTCTTTATGGGCTAAGGTTGCTCATTCGTAAGTAGCCATTCCCACATCCCGCCTTGGAAGAGATGCTTTCAAGTCAAGAAAATTGCAAAATTTACGGAAGATTTGTTGTTTCGGAAGTTCCATCCGTCCCACGAGTGATCCATAGAAGTGTGTTGCAATGGTCGAAAGGAGTAGCGTATTCCAAGATTGAATTGCCCCTACTATCATTCCAAAGACCTTAATGATTGGAAAACTTCGTTGATGTGTTGGATCAACCTAATGGCATTTCAAAACCCTTCGTGCTCGGGTGGGACCATGTTCATGGTAGATCGAACATTGACATGACACTCATAGTACTGCGTCTTTCGAATAACGACACCATTAGCGTTGTCTGGGAGGCCCTTTTCCAGGTCAACACGCAGATCCTTGCATAGTTTTTATTCCATTGCCTATCCTGTGGTGGCTCATGAAGTAGACAACGAGAACATTGTGTCAAGCAAAAGGAAATTTTAACTTTTAACTTCATTTATATTGAAGACGATATTGTATTTGCAAGTGACTCACTCCTAGTGAGCAAGGAAGAGCAACCCATAACTATGGTCAAAAGGGATTTTGGATTGGATGCGAAAACAAAGGCAACAGTTTCTGATCAGAGCAAAGTGTTGATTGTCAGATATGAACTATCTTTATTGTTGTTGAGTGAGGACGTCCCCCACCCTAGTCTTGCAAAGAGGAGGGTGTGAGTCAATTCTCAATCTGATAACCCATAGAGGAAAGTAATGTTGATGATAGTGGTAGTAAGAGTGATGTTTTTCTCAATGATTGTGAGTATGACCCTTTATGCAGTATAATGAAAGAAAGTTGACCCCAAATAGTTGGAATAAAGCTTGGATGATGATGATGATTTATTTTTACAAATGACATTCAGGGATGTGGGTTGACTTTTTTTTATCTTTTATTGGGGTTAATTTTTAGGAATTAAACATGAAGGGGTTAAAAAGGAGTTTAATTAATTTGTTGGGTAGTTGGGAGGCTTCCTATTTTAGGACTAACATTTTTTTTCTTTTCCTTTTTATTTTATTTTATAAGATTTTGTTAGTTAGCTAGTTGGAATAGCCACATGTGAGGGTGCAAGATTACAGGAAAGAAAGAAGAGGATAAGGAAGGAGTGCATGAGGGAATGAATGGAGTCCTAGTTACATGGAAAAGAAGGGGCATGTGTTATTAAGTGGTTAGAGAGAGGGAGAGATTAATGTGGGATAGGGAGAGAGGGAGAGGGTGCATGTGATTATTTTTTGGGGGGGTTCTAATAAAGGACTTTGGTATTTTTTTGTGTGAGAATTTTTTTATGAAAGAAGAAAAGTGTGTTTCCTTCATCCTTGGGTTGATTTTCAACTATCGTTATCTTTCTCCATAGTTGCAGAGTTTACGTGTTTCATGATTGAAAGAAGACTGGATTTAAGTTCCTGAGTTTTTTTTACATCATGGTGATTGATTTTCAAAGAAAGCACAAGTCTTTCTCGCTGTTTAACTCACAGAATTAGCAATAACTATGAATCTCTTTCAATAATCTAAAACTCCCCTAATTATTCATGAGGAAAATTATACCATACACACCTAATGTATGACAGAGAACACTAAAAAGGCGCAACCTCAAAATGGTACAGTGATAAGTGAAGAAGCGTATGTATGGAGTGAATGTCATTCATTAGAACTATTAGTCATCCCACCACTGGCCTTGAGAATGGATAGAGTTGTGAATAGTATAGTTCCTAGGCTTGTTTCGATGTACTTGCTATAAAGTTGAATCTTTTTTTTTTTTGACTAGAGTATGAAATTTCATTAATAACAATGTGTTACAATGAGAGTTCAAGAAACAATATCCAAACAATGTCAAACAACAGATAATTCATTGTCATGATTAAATTTATTTTATTTATTTTTATTTTATTGTTCAATAAAGTTAATCTTGACAATGATGCATCTATTGCTTGACAGTGTCCCTTATAAAATTATACGAGATAAACTTATAGGTAGTTTTGCATAGAAATATCTTTGAAAAGTTGTTTATACTTTATTCAAAGTAATTTGTTGAAAATCACATTTTTTAGCTAGAAATAACTAAAATTTTCTGAATGCCAAAAGGTAAAATAATTAAATAATACTATATATAATATCAGGTATGTATCAAACAACTAGCAAAATAATATTATGCAGAGTACAACAATTCAGATGGTCTACTCTTGATAAAATTAAGTATCATCTAGACCTGCCCAAATTGTCTATAATGAGACTATTGCCTTTTGTACAAATAGGTAACGAAAAATCCTAAGCCGTCAGACTTGAAACCTGATGGGCTGGAGTTCACAAAAATCCAAAAAATAATCTCCGATTTTGTGGATGGTCAATGGTATATCCCTCTGGAACATTTCACATCTAATGGCTTAGGAATGCGAATTACCATGTTGTACAAAAAGCAACGGTCTCATTGGATAGTTCCCTATAATAAAAATATAATTTTTTTAGTTCTTTTAGTTTCAAGAAACTACCAAACTCTTATAATGTGTACTAAGGCATATTTGATATTCAAACTGTTTCTTACTTATTGAGAGGCTCTCCAAGTTTTGGGGATTCTGCAGAAAATTGTAGAATTGGCTGAGCTCTAACAAGCATTCCAAAAGAGTTGAACCCGAGAATGTTACTAGTAGGATTGTCTTAAATAAAGAGCTTCATGAATGCTTAAGGGCTGAGGAAGTAGACAAAGGCCTAAAGAAGGAGACTTGAATATTAAGTTTTTCCATGCCGTTGCAAATTCTAAGAAGGGTGTTAATAGTATTCAAGGTTCGAAAAATACAAGAGGAGGCTATTGAAGAGTATTATAGAAAAGCTTTTTTTGCAATACCAACCCTGGACACTGATTTTAGTGATGTTCGTATCTCCTTTTCTCTTCACAATTATGGCAGAAGGTTTTAGTGTGATTTTGAGAGTTGTTGAAAGTGCAGGGCCGTTGAATGGTTTCAGTGTGACAAATGGATGAACTATAGTATCACATCTACAGTGTGCAGATAACACACTAGTTTTATGCGGTGCTAAAGAGGATAAAACAGTTAGTCTTCTAAAGATTCCTGAGATGTCTTGAGGTAGTAACTGGTTTGAGGGCTAATTTACAGAAAACAAAATTGGTGGGTGTGGGATGTGAAGTTGAAGAGTTAGGAAAATTTGCAGGAGTTATCGGGTGGAACAGTTTCCCATTAAATATTTAGGAGTGCCCTCGACTAATGCTAAGATGGGGAGATCACTTTGGGATCCAGTTATACAAAGGATGCAATACAAGTTATATCTATGGAAGTCTAAAATTTTATCTTTGGGAGGTAGATTGACTTCAATTAAAGTTACATTGTTGAATCTGCCAGTGTATTACATGTATTCGTTTCGAATGCCGAATAATGTGGCTAAGCAATTAGAGGGTTTAATGAGGAGCTTTTAATTGGGAGGGTTAGAAGATGTAAAAAAAAATTTAGTTTTGTTGCATGGAGTAAAGTTTGTACTGCTCTTAGGGATGGTGGAATGAGGATGAAGGGATTGAGAGTGATGAATGGTGATGTATGAATGAGAATGGACTGTTAATAGTATATTATTTTGGGGGAAAACAATGGTGTTGACAAAGAACATGGGATGGTGGCAAGGGGTGTAAATAAGAAAGGGATTACCTGGATGTGGAAAAGTATTGTTGCTCATAGGGATTTTTTCATCAGAAATATGAGGGTACTGGTTGGAGATAATGATAAAACAAGATTTTGGTGTCATAAGTGGCTTGGGGATAGACCTTTAAAAATACAGTTCCATTTTTTTTTTTAATAAAGTAACATCTAGAAGTTTTGAGGATTAAAAAGATGGTTATTGGTGAAGGTAAAAATGCTGCATGGGGTATTTGATGTAGATATAATAGACCCACAGAAGTGGCGATTGATCAATATATTCAGTATATGAATTTATTGCAGCAACAATACTGTTGCCCTAGGAATCTGAATAGAATTATTTGGGAGCCAAGAACGAAAGGTGTGTTCAAAGTTAGCTCGGCTTATGCCTTATTGTTCAATGATAGAAAAAGATAGTGTGGGCCAAAGGTTACTCGCGTATGAAAGCTCCCTGTGCCCTAGGAATGTGTATAGAGTTATTTGGGAGCCAAATACAAAAGGTGTGTTCAAAGTTAGCTCAGTGTATGCCTTATTGTTCAATGATAGAAAATGACAGTGTGGGCCAAAAGTTGCTCGCACATGAAAGCTCCCTGTTCCTTTTTAGGTGAGGTGCTTTATGAGTATAAAGTTTGAATAAACTGCCAACCACTGAGTTGTTAAAGGAAAAGAGGTAAACGTGCTCGCTAGCATTTTTATCCTTTGAAAAACAGAGGCTGAAACAGATGATCACTTGTCTCTTCAATGTCAATATCCTTGTTATATGGAATAGATGATGGACATGTTGGGCATGCAACTGACTGTTCCAAGGAGTGTGTTGAAACTGTTTATATTGTGGGAGATATTGAGTGTTGGTGAAATAGGAAGAGTGCTTTGGAAGATTATTAAAGGTGTTGTATCGTGGGAAATTTGAAAAGAAAGGAATAGACATGTTTTGAGGATAAGGGTTTGCCAAGTAACAAATTATCTGAGAAAATCAGAGTGGTATTTGCTAAATGGGCATCGATTATTAGCCTGATTAATCAACATTTATATGGTTTGACACAGCAACAAGATGTTGTTTGTAACAAGTAGTTTTGTTGGTTGGTTAATCGGTCACTTTTTATTCATGAAATGGGTTAGATTGGGTATTATTCTGGATGCGAAAAAATAATTCGATTGATCAAATAGGTACATTAATACCTTGTATCACAACCTTCTTGTGTTGAGGAAGTATTGCATTCCTATGGGAATTATGACTGCTAATGAGGCTGATTTGTGAGCACTGTTGCAAGGATTGAAAATAGCAAAGGATTGGAAAATGCATGTTATTGCTGAATACGACTCCATGAGTGTGATAAAATGGTGTGATAAAATGGTGTGATAGGTTGATGGAGGTGCCTTGTTTGCTATGTATGTTGTGGGATGACCTCATGGATGTAGTGGAAAAAATGGATGAGTTTTGTACATGTGTATAAAGAAAGAAACTCACTTGCAGATGGATTGGCTAGGGAAAGGATATGAGCTCAGCAGTTAATGGTTTGCTTACTGTTTGTTGTATTGTTGTTTCATGCCCTTTGATTGTATGAGGTTCAAGTACAATGGATTATAACAAGAAGGGGGTAGAATAGATGTTTCTGGTTATCAAAGGAATGTGGCTACTCCTATGTAACTACTGTTTGCTGTAATTCTTACAGTTTCAATGTCAATAACAGTTGTTAATCTTGTAAAAAAGGAAAGGGATCTCCAATTTAACACTGAGTTGTGTGTGTGTGAGATGTAAATGGTCAAGTGACTTTTCACTTCTATTGTCCATTAAAGAGAAGAAATGTTCAAAAAAAGAAAAAATAAAATGAAAAAGAACGATGTCAGTTGTATTTGGCAACTACAGATTTTTATTTATTTATTTATTTATTTTTATTTTTTGTGCTTGTGTTTGTTTGGTGTAACGGGCTCATGGGAAATAGAAAGATGAGATATAAATTTCAGGGATGAAATTTTAACCAAAAAGTCAAATAAAATTAAGAATATGATTTACCTGAGGGCCAAAAGGACAACCTGGGGCTATGGTGTGTTGGAGAGAGAGACCGCCATGTGCAATAATAACTTTAAGAACGTATAAAAGAGGGAGAAAGAGGACCGTAATGTGCAATACTAGCCACATGAAGAGATGAAATTTGGAT